AAAAAAGTTTCGTATTATGCTTCCAGTCGAACCAAGTGGCAGATCCCCGCAACATCGATTTGATAAAAGGTAGTCAGTAAAACCACAATTTTGTAAAAAAAAAAAAAAGAAAAATACGATTTTCTTCCTAAAGGATTGAGCTATACATGTCTTAAAACAAACTTTTCATTATTTTCATTATTTTATAAAAAAAAATTCCCGAAATTGCGTATGATTTTTAGACTTTCAAGATAATATAACCCTTTTGTTAAATTTAATTTTATTGCAATATTGACTGAAAAATGTTAACAATTTATTTACATTTTCCAATCAATAAATATTCTACTAACACACACAATCACATACACACACGCACGCACGCGATGTTTATTAATAAACTAATTTTTTAATTATAATGAACTTTATTTTTTATAATAATAATCATAATAATAATTATAGTATTGTGTTATGGCTGTGTTGCCACACCACTGTTACTGGTGTGGTGACAGTGATGTTCCAATCACACTATCTTCTTCCGCGGTCTCCTCCGCGGCCTCTTCTCCAGTATGGGATTATGCCTCTTCGTGCATACTACGATACACGAGAGCGGCCATGTCCTCATCTGTTTCGAACTGAAAATTAAATTTATAGATAATTTTTTTAATATAATATTTATATAATATATAATTTATGTATACATGATATTCCAAACTTTTTTACACCACTTATGAGCAGGTAGAGCGGACTAAACTGAATCGAAAAGTTCTCTACTATTTTGCAATTTAAATCATTTTTTTTAATTGTCTAATAAATAAACTCTCGATCGACACATAAAACAACTTTAAGGAAGGAATCTAGTTTAGAACGCTGAAAAATAGCTATTGTTTGTGAATTTTTTATGAATAAACTATAAAATCGATCTTTCTAAAATTTTAAGGATGATTTGTTATAAATTTCAACAATACAAAACAATTTTTTTAATATATAAATAATGAACACAGTAATAAGTTATATATTAATCATTATTGTGCTTTGGCACAGGCGTTATTAATTGGCGTGCAATGTTAGAGCCTATAATTCTTGCCTGAATAAAAAATACCAAAAATTTTTTGAAATTATATAATATTTTATCCTAAATAAACTAAAAAAAAAAATAGGAAAAAATTATTCAGTTGTAAGAATTGATGAATTTTGAAAAAAAGTTACAATTTTTAACATAAAATTTCGACTTCTTTATGCAAAAATAATTATTTATACTAAGTTTTTAACAAATGTTTTTAGTTCATTTAGGATAATTGACAATTATGTAACTAAAAAACTTTGGACTAAGTCGATTGGTCAAATAGTTTTTGAGTTATCTTGCACGCCAATTTCGAAAAAGTGGTTTTGAGAACAACATGTTTAAAGTTTTCGGTATCGCTGTATATCTGCGCGATGTGTATGTTTCTCAGGCTATAACTGCAAAAGTATTTCGAATTTCGGTCTAAAACTTTACGAGTATATTTTTAAAGAGTAATACTATCGATTAAAGCAAAAAAAAACGAAAATTTTGAAATTTTAATTGCAATTATTGTGAATACAGTTAAATTTTGGAATATTGGAGAGAGGAGGTTTCGAGGAGAATGTTTTTTGAATACGTTATTTTGTAATATATTTCTAGATGGGGGCGCTAAAAAATATGAAACCTCTATTTTTTTTAATGGAATTATGATTCTTTTTACATAGTATGATTCTTCTAATAATTCTGCATATAAATAAAGTATTAAACTTATCAGAAAAACATAATAATTTATGAGATACTTTATATTAGCATGTTTTCGTATGAAATATATATAATTTGTCATAAACTTAGTTTTCTTATAAT